CTCTCTCTCGCTACTGTTCCTGAAGAACTGGCGCTCGGTTCTAATGCCGGTTTGTCACGGTAGGTACGCTCTTCTGGGTCAAAGATGCACTCGTAATTTTTTACAAATGACACATTTGTTTTACAAGTCAGGCTTTCCATATAAAGAAATGAACAGGGATTTAGGAAAAATATCATTAAAATTATGTACATTCACATGAGGTGACATATAGCCTACACGTGTTCTAGACAAAGCCAATTGAGTTTACTTGAGCAGGTCACTCTTTCATGGGGGCCGCCATATTGACTTCACATGACCAGTTGTTTCATATAACTGGCAGTAGCTATTATGCAAGTATTAATTAATCGACCATCCTTTCCTAAACGAGACATCACAGCTTTAGAGCATCACAGCAAGTGCTGTTGCCAGAATTGGGGGTTATTGTGTTTCTCTGTCATGTGATGGAGCATGTGTTTGACATGAGTTTCTAATATAGAGTTTAGATTCGCCTGTCATCTCTCCAGAATAATGATGAGATGTCTGGCATTTAACCTTTCAGGAAATAGTTCACTTCCTGCCATAGAAGTTCTGCACATACCAGACTTATCAAAGACATCAAGGCATTGACTCTCAAAAAAACAAAAAAACAAAACCGTTTTTATCCAAATTATTGCGTGTTTCCATATTTCTGTGTGGAACACACAAATATAAATATTGAGATAATGTTTTGTAGATGTAATGCACAAAAATATGTTCATTATGTCCTCAGCTCTGTATGTGACGAAGCAAATATTATTTAGGCATACCACTTAGAAAAATGAACATAAAAGCATGTAAATAAATAAATAAATAAATAATGTAGTTACATGATACATTAGTGTCCTGCAGTGTCATTCGCGAAATGTCCCATTAGATCTATTACTGTTTTGTATGTAAGGGAACTTACAGTTAAAAGGTTTTTACTGTAGCCTTTTTACAGTCTCTTACAGTTAAAATAATAATTATTTACAGTGCAATGACATTAGCACAGCATCATTATGTAAAGTAATTAAAATCTTAAATTAAGCCGAAAACAAAGGTTTATGTCTCCCTCTCAAACTGTCCTTTACAATACACAGAGAGGATTGAAAATGTAATGTCTGTCAGCAGTCCAGCCTGTGTACTGAGGTCTGTTTTAAAGTTTGATTGCTCTAATTAAAACTGCATGATTTGTCAGACAACTGATAATTCAGCGGCAGATACATGTGTGAATTTTATTGCATTGCATTTTGTAAAACCTCAGCTATTCTTAGAAACCTTACTCACTTATCACTGGCCTCTGTTCTTTAGTGGAAAAATAAAGAGAATGGTAAAATTCCAAGAAAGGACAGAGATAAAGAATAGAAAGACAGCCAACCCAACATAATAACATGTTCCTGTAGGTCAAATACAACATGGCGCTAGCAACGTCAATGCCATGGGTTAAATTCCCAGGTAATGCATGAACTCAAAAGATGTATAAATTGAATGCAATGTATGTTTGAATAAAAGAATCTGCCAAATGCATAATTGTAATGTAAATATCATTAGATAGTTGTGTAAAAAAACCTCAGTGGACTATTTTTTCATGTTATTGATGGTGAACAATATTATTGACACTAAGTTTGACCAAGCATTCACATGGAATTTGAATATACTGATAACTTAAAAAAAGTAAAAAATTCTATATTCAGCATTCAGCAATAAGCAGAGGGTTGAAGCGCAGTGCTTCTTTCAGCACATTAAACAGCTCATTCATTACTCCAGTAGTGTGCTTCAGATATATATTGTGCGCAGTATAATAAATACTGAAAGCACTCAGTCACTTGACCCTCTCCAAGCCATTTAGCTTCTTGTTATGTACTGCTCAAGGAGAGATTTGGGGGGGGAAAAAGAAGAAAAAAAAATGTCATGCTTGTCTTGAACTCATAATGTACAACTGCTGCAAAAGCATTTCCTAGAAAATGCAAATCTGTTATGCTGTATTTTTCATATTTTGACCACAGTAAACCCCATAAGTAAGACTTGGCTTGAGAATAATTTACCGTTATTATGTGGTGGGCGAGTACGTTTTCCTTTCAGTTTTCTGTGTTGTGTTATTTTTTTACAGTATGCCACTGAAATTTTCCAACAAGAGAGGACAATCAAAGCAACACACATCATTCATATTTTATATCCTTATTTTAACTCTGTGCCCTGAAGTGTTTGGTAGTAGGAATTGTTATATGATACAATTTCTTTGTTTGTAATAAGGCTGAATCATCCCTCTCAGGTCAGTTATTAAATTTTATCCTTTCCCAATAATTGTAATGCCAGCCGTGGGCTGCCATATCACAAGCAAAAACTCTTCATGAACGTCAGTCAACAGAGAGGCCTGAAATGCTTTCATGTCCATTCCATATTTGTTCTGGAGACATTTTTTTTTTATACTTGAAAAAATAACTTAATGACTGGAATATAATTTATATGGAGACAAAGTGCATGCACTGACATTTCATATGACAGCATGTGTCTGCTTATATTTGTAAGTTTAATTTCTGCAATATATCTGCTCTCATGAAGAACAATTTCCTGTGGTTTCATGCTGGACGTTCTGACCCTAACTCCTGCAAGGCTAAAAAAAGAAAAAGAAGAGAAACTTCTTATATATCCTGAATCAGAATATCATACATTTTCCTGTAGTTCAACAACACAAATTACACTATTATTTGCACAATAATTGTTAAGCACATGAGAAGTTTATTCTCCTTATGTAACAACTTGCCAGTAACATTTGTGAAGCACACATTCCATTATTCCATTACAAATGTGTGTGTGAGGTATGGCTGTCTGTCATTTACTGTATGTTGTAGAACAAAATGCAAGAACAAAATAAAAAGTAATCTTAACTACACACCTTATTCATCATTTCTGGGTTTTAGGACTACAAACTGAGCAGCTCCATTGTAGATCAATTAGTCAGACACTCCTGTCACAGGCTTCAGAGATTGTCTTTGTCAGTTCAGCTCATTATGTATAATTTAAGGTTGATCTCATGGGTAGCTGTCTGCAGGTATGTGTTAACATCTCCTTCACTGACCTTAAGAACTTGTGCACATGCTTATTCATCACTCTGTAAAGTCAGGTTTTACTCAGCACCTTACAAACTTAACCATATAATGTAGTCAGCACATTTTAGGCTCATGCACATACTATTTTATTTCTGAATTTAAGTTCAGTTTACACATGTAGAGATTCCCTGCATGCAAAGTAACGTTCACATTTTGTACAACATAAATTACAGATAGTCATATCTCACACACACCTTTGTAATGAAAAAATGGAAATTGATTGTGTGCTTCACAAATGTTGCTAGCTACAGTAGTTGCTAGATAAGGAGCACTGTTCATGTGCTTGACGAATATTGTGCAAATAATTGTGTAATGTACACTGTGTGGAGTGTGGACACACATATGCAAGGTCAATATAATTTTAAAAACAAACAAAACAAAACTCACACTTTCCACAACTGTGGAAGCATTGCTAATTAGTTTTAATGTACAAATTATTTACAGTCATTTTAATAACTTCTCCTGTCACTGCAGAAGTTGTAATACAATACGTGAAATATAGATGATCATAAATGTAACACCACAAGTGACAATCCAAATGTTACTCGTGTGCTGAATTAAAATGAACTTTAATAATAAAAATACAAGTATCTTAATTTTGATATATGATCCCTTCCTTATTCTTTTATTGATGTCTGCATATGGCAATGATGAGAACTGTTTTGGAGTAATAGAAAAACGAAAAATTAGGTATTAGAGTGTACGTGGCTTGTGTTTAAACATGCAGATTAATAAAATAATAACTTTTGATTAGATGAAAGCCATAATAAAGCGACTAAAAAATAAAAATGTTATTAGTGCGCCAGTGTTTTTAAAAACAGCCAATAGTTACTATAATGAAACCTATTACTTTTTGGGATAACTGTTTATTCAGATAATTATATATAATAAATGTAATGCTTTATCAAACATTATTGCATTCAATTGTTAAAAAAAAAAAAAAAAAAAAGCTTGATTCTGATTGGTCAATCACACTACCCAGTGATTAGAAAACTGGCTTCCAAATACACCTATACTTTATATAGCAAGTGAAAAGCAGCATGAGTAGTATGTCCAAATTTGCAGTATTCATAAAACAATAGGTCTAAAAAAATATCCAGATGACTTACGACTTCACGTTCACTTATGTGAAATTGTGTTCTGTCCTGCAATTAAGGTGC